AAGAGAGGATACTAGCGCTTCCTATAGAGGCACTGAGCTTTTGTCCCATTTGATGGAGAGTTGCCGGCCTGGCTTTTATGTGTCTTTACGAGTGGAATCTCGTACAGTATTTCCGGCTCCTTTCTCGATCTTGCACGCAGTCCAATGATCGCTACTAGGTGATACGGTCGCGATCAATCGACATCTAGCGCACGACCGAGAAACGCGTCGAAATAGCGAGATAATCCTCGCGCGTCAGAAATTAAACCAAGCACAGAGCAACTTGGTTTGTCCATGATGAATAAAGGATATCCAATCGCCTCCTCATATTTCTTAAGAATGCGTTTTTTGTCCGATGGAGCTGCACCGTAAGTTGCTCCGAGGTCACTCAGGTTCCGCCGGCTAATTTGGCCTAGGTTCGTTGCGGTTCGCTGTTTGCTACATCGTGTGTAGCGTGTTCTTGTATGATTGTACGTTTTTTTACAAAAAAAGAAAACATTGCTATGATCTCTATGGTAAAGTAAAAATTTGTTTGAGGAATTAACACTTACTTAAATATAACACAATTACTTTTTCCATAGCACGTCTTACACAGATTAACGGTATTTTGACGTTAAATAAAATAAACATTGTTATAAACAAACTGGTTAAACATCCGTTATAAGAGTACTACGCTACTCTTATGTGATTCAGGGATGTATTAGGCTACCATCTTCTTTTCTATTCCGCGATGGACACGGTGTGAATAGCATACCAACTTGTTTTGTGAATGAGCCATTAACAATGCAACATATAACAGAAGCATGGCGTTACATAAAATGTTAGAACTAGACATAAGCGGAGTCATTCACTATGCGTTTCGCATCACTTTAACGTAAAACGTAACTTGAGGTGGTAGAGCGAGATAAGTGGTATGTTTAACATGCTTCTTTTAATTGATTAATCGAAAGATGAGAGGTTTCTTTCTATTTCTGGTTAGAGTTTTGAATCGGTTTCCACGTATAGTTTTCTGCGTAACGAGACCGTAAAGATTTGCTGTGTTTAACATGGGCTGTTTATGATCTGAATTTTAAAATTGTGATAAAATTAACTGTGAACATCGCCTTTTAAAAAAACATTTCTTTTGGTGGCTCATCTCAAAGAATCAAATCAGCGCAACTGAAGAAACTAACCGTTTCAAAATGCGAGAATTGTGGCAAATTCTAAGCCTAAATCAGTCCAAAGGGAGACTTCGCGCGCTTCTTAATAGAGGGTCGGGACAGTGCGCGCATCTACGGCAACACCGCCGCGCTCATCGCGCTTCATTCAAATCGAGTTGAAAATACGTTCCAGAATCTTCCAAGAGTTCGTACATTCCTCTGGATCGTCTGGATCCTCTGGATTTAGAAATGAACCATCTACTTATGAGACGGTAACTCAATAATCGAAATGTGAGTGAAGTCGATAGAAGAACTAAAGCATATGGGCCATGGACACAGTCCGATACTGAATCGATTCTCAATCTAACCACTAGTAACAAATTTCTCACGAGCGATGAAATTCTTATTTTTGCTTTAGGTTCTGTGTTAAACATTGTGAATGTGTGTGTGTGTGTGTGTATATATATATATATATTATATATATAATTATATATATATATATATATATATTATATATATTATATATTACAGGGTGACGGCAAAAATCCGGAACAAATTGAACTATTTTTCTTTACACTATATGTTTGTTTTGTACACATTGAAAAATTAAACAAATTGTTTTTAACTCACGTAATGTATAGGGATCATATGGAATAATTTATCTATATATCCCACTTGCTTGAACGCGCTCCAATTCTGGGTCTGAACGCTCGCAGGCACGGTGCAAGGCTTACGGGTTCCATCTTCGGCGAATGCTGCTTCAATAGCGCTCGGAGAGATTGCTACGTTCGGGTGTTCGCTTGTTTGTCACTCTCTCTCAATCCAGTCCATACATAATAATGCAGCGATATTTAAATCTGGCTGTCTGGAGGCCAGAATTTTCCTTCGACCAAAACCATGTCGATATTGTCCGATAACAATTCTGCACCCAATGACTCGTATGGCGGGCGCACGTCTTGCTGGAACAGCATAATGGCCTTCCATATATGCTACGTTTGTCCATTCACGGCTACAAGTTAGATAAGACATTCACATAAACCTCGCTTGTCATTTTCCCCTTTTTTGGAAGGACATGAGGTGGCATTAAACATCACCTTTGTACGAAACAACTCCTAGCCTGCACATTGGCCGGAAATTTGTTCTCGATCCACAGGCGACATCCTCAGGTCGGCGGCGCCGAAGCCAGCGGTCATTTCTCTTCGATTAATTTTTTGCCGTCTACCAGTAAAAATTTTCTCGTCGGAAAAAAAATCTGATTCGTCGCAGCGCGCTTGTTCTGTAGGAGCCAAAAGAAACTTGCAAAACCGTTCAACTCTCTCGTCTGGGGCTTCAGGAAAAGCATGCTGTCGAATTTGATGGTGTAGGACTTGTGAAACGGAGGTCTTCTTGGACAATCTGACGGAATAGTTGTCTCACTTATTTCCGAACACGCGCACCAATTTTGTCGGATCGATTGTCTGGATCGCTCAAGAAATCAGTTCTTGAACGCGTCTGAATACTTCTGGCGTCCTGACTGACGCGTCTTCGAGTGGCACTTTTTGCGGGGTTAGGAGACTTCTCTGAACTTTCCGACTCCTTGTATTTTGCCACGGAATCATAACTGTCGATCTTCGGATTGCGAAGAAGCTGATTATCTCCTGTCGCTGAGCGCCCAGGCGAACACTGTTCATTGATCCGCTGGCTCTTCGAGTTGTGATTCTTCGGCTTTGTCTAACATTGCGACTGTTTTGAGGTTTGTCTGCTTAGTAGATGGGTATCGATATTCATGTAACAATCGCGACATCTGTTAGGTGGCCCATACAAGCGCGCGGAGATTCAAATCTAATTTTGTCCGTTGATTTTGACCGCGACCCTGTAATATATATATATATATATAATATATTATATTATATATATACACACACACACACACATTCACAATGTTTAACACAAACCTAAGCAAAATAAGAGATTCTATTCGCTGTGAGAAATTTTGGTTTACTAGTGGTTGGATGTGAGAATCGATTTCAAGGTATCGACTGTGTCCATGGCCCATATGGCTTTAGTTCTTCTATCGACTTCACTCACATTTCGATTTTGAGTTACCGTTCTGTGATTGGTTCATTTCTAAATCCAGAGGATCCAGACGATCCAGAGGAATGTACGAACTCTTGGAAGATTTCGGAAGGTTTTTTCACTCGATTTGAATGAAGCGCGATGAGCGCGGGGTGTTGCCGAGATGCGCGTCACTGTCCCGACCCTCTAGAAAGCGCGCGAAGGTCTCCCTTTGGACTGATTTAGGCTTATAATTTTGCACAATTCTCGCATTTGAAACGGTAGGTTTCCTTCAAGTTGCGCGTTTGATTCTTTGAGATGCTAGCTACCAAAAGAAATGTTTTTAAAAGCATGTTCAACAGTTAATTTTCTCACAATTTTAAAATTTCAGATCATAACAGCCCATGTTAAAACAGCAAATTTTACGGTCTCGTTACGCAGAAACTATACGGTGGAACCGATTCAAACTCTACCAGAACATAGAAGAACCTCTCATCTTTCGATTAATACAATAAAAAAGGCATGTTAAACATACCACTTATCTCGCTCTAACCACCTCAAGTTAACGTCTTACGTTAAGCTTATGCGAACGCATAGTGAATGACTCCGCTTATGTACGTAGTTCTAACTTTTATGTTAACGCCATGCTTCTGTTTATGTTTGCATTGTTAATGGGCTCATTCACGAAAACAAGTTGTATGCTATCACACCGTGGTCCATCGCGAATAGAAAAGAAGAGGTAGCCTAAATACATCCCTGGAATCACATAAGGTTAGCAGTAAGTACTCTTCATAACTGATGTTTAACCATGTTTGTTATAACAATGTTTTATTTATTTACGTCAAATACCGTTAAATCTGTGTAAGACGTGCTATGGGAAAAAGTTAATTTGTAGTTATATTTAAGTAACTGTTTAATTCCTCAAACAATTTTACTTGACCTAGAGGGATCATAGCAATGGTTTCTTTTTTTTGTAAAAAACGTACAATCATTACAAGAACACGCATACACACGATGGTAGCAAACAGCGAACCGCAACGAACTAAGGCCAAATCCTAGCCGGCGGAACCTGAGTTGACCTCGGACATACTTACCGGGTGCAGCTCCATCGGACAAGAAACGCATTCTTAAGGAAATATGAGGAGGGCGTTGGATATCCTTGTATTCATCCATGGACAAACCAAGTGTGCTCTGTGCTTGGGTTTTAATTTCTTGACGCGCGAGGATTATCTCGGCTATTTCGCGCGTTTCTCGGTCGTGCCGCTAGATGTCGTATGATCGCGACCGTATCGACCAGTAGTAGCGATCATTGGACTGCGGCAAGATCGAGAAAGGAGCGAAATACTGTACGATATTCCATCGTAAAGACAAAAAAGCTTCGCGATCCAAAACCCGAGTATAGTTTGGCAGCCCTGCTACCACTGTTTTTCGCTTTATTTGACCGAGATTGAACAAACCGATCAGCTGAATGTACTAAAAACAAATAATCACCTTAGTATTATAATCTCTATCTGTACTAAAAGTGTGTTAAGAATGGAGAGAAAAGGGAAGAAACAGAGACCTTTCCGCAAGAATACCAAGCAATTCAGAACGAACACCCAGAAAACAGAAGAACTTGAACATGGCGATAGTAGTAATATATTATTATCTTCATTGACGTTGGATGGAACAGGCTAGTGAAATACAAACTTCTACAGAACTTCAGAAAGACTGCGAGTGTTAGTATACTTACATTTCAATTACAGATAGCCCATCGGATGATGAATCTCCATCCTATATTACAAGTGCACCGTTTGATGTTGCCATGTGGGATATGGAGCACTGTGATCCCCGAAGGTGTACCGGACGAAAATTATTTAGACATAATCTGATAAAAAAACTGAATCTTGGGCAACGGTTCAATGGCATTGTTTTAACACCCATCGGTCAGAAGGTGAATGCCATTCTTTGATTCTGTAATCTGCATGTGCTGTTTGGGTTCAAAGGTATCGGGGAATGGTTTTGAATTTAATTATAAATGTATTAATTTCAAAAAAATCTTTATATGGCAATTTAGAAAGAAATTAAACATTGGTGGTAGTTGTAGAAGTGGAAGAACACAACTGTTATCAAGTCCTTCACAGATTGTGTGGAAGTATGAACATATTCCATTCAATCATTTTTTTGTACGAACACAGGGAACATGTAACAAAACACAGACAACAAATTGCTTTAGTTAAGAAAATGCCATCCATAATTTTCTTACCTGTTCTCTGTTATTTTAGCTACAAAATCTCTGTCCATTCTTTCATAACATTGTGCAGATCAATGTCAAACAAGTTTTTAGTGCTTAGTTCTGCACCCATGTTTCATTTGTTACACACCCTATGCTTCCATTCACTGAACCCTTCAGTCATTCTTTTCTTGTATCGTTCACACTAAATTAATGTTTTTAATTTTTTTTGTCCTCGCATTTTGTGACTATACTCAAGTATTTCCTTTCTGTATTTTTTAATTCCTAATCCTTCCTCATCTTCCAGATGAGGTTTTCTACCTATTTTTCATTTTCATCATTGTGTTACTATGATGGCTCCTAAATTTTCACGCTTTTATATTTTCTTATATTAACCTGAATATGGCTCATCTCAACTATATAATCTACCCACCATTAACATCCTTCCTAACTTTGCTTTTGCCCCAAATGTTCCCTTAAATACAAACCAAAAGTACCATCCTAACAATAATTCATCCATGCTAACTCTTATCAACAATTCCAATTATATCTTTTGTACATTCCATAATTAACTCAATTACTTACTTAGTTAATATCACTGTATCAACACACACTTTCACAGTAATATAGCCACACCATAAAAAACACATACATGTACTTGACCAGAATGCAAAGGGCATCAACAATGAAAAAGTAGAACTAATATCAATAATATAAAGAAAAAAAAGCAATCTTAGCTTGCATAATGTATACATATTTAAGTTCAAATTACTCATTTAACATATCAGAAGATATATTGTTAATTCCAGCATTTCAATATATATACACATACACCAATTAAAAACAGACTATAAAAAAATGCTGGAATCACTGTTTTATCAATTTCAAGAAATTGCCACAGTTTCTGAGTTATCTCACAAATTCCTTGATCCATTGTAGTTCATGAGCTTAGTGTGCATTAGAGTGTGTCCAGGCCAAGCCACTGTGAGCTATACTACGATTTTCACAACTCTGCCCCTAGCAGGTATCAGGTGTTGATGGTTTGTAGTCGGTAATAATAAAAATTATGTTTCAGTGTGTTTCTCCATCTGATAGAGATATTATTTCGCAATATGGTGTAGCAGTGGTAGATTGCTCATGGGCTCGACTAGAAGACACACCATTCACCAAAATGAGAACCCCTCAACCTAGATTGTTGCCATTTTTGGTTGCTGCTAATCCTGTTAAATATGCGAAACCTTGTGAGCTTTCTTGTGTTGAAGCTTTGGCAGCAGTGTTCTACATTGCAGGTATGAAACAATTGTGAAAATTAAATTTGTGCCAGTTTTTATTTATTAATAACTAGATATATTTTTTAGGCTTTCAGGATGTTTCACATTTGTATCTGAGCAAATTTAAATGGGGCAAGCACTTTCTTGAGTTAAATAGAACTCTCCTGGATGCCTACTCAAATTGTACTAACAGTGGTGATGTGGTCGCAGTACAGAATAAACATTTGGAAGAATTAGAGAATGAAAGGGAAGAAAGAGATAAGAGAGAGAGACAAGGTAAACAAAATTTGAAAATCTGCGTTAAATGAATTATTTGACACAAACATGATGTTATTCATACTCAACAGATATATATGACTTATCATCTGAAGAGACAGAAGAAGAAGGAGTGAAGATAAATTAGAAAACACATGATAAAATCAGTTTAATGTATTTCATTATATAAAATTATATTTTGTACCAGTCTTGTTTGATCCAATTAATGTTTTTGGGAGATCTCATGTTAAGCGTATACGAAATCTAGTCCAGGTAGTATATAGGAAAGTTGGGAGGTAAGAACAAAATTCAAGATGAGTCATGTGTACAAGAGGAATTATACAAAACATTTGACTGATAGGACTCAGTTTTTAGAACTGACTACCATTCCAGTTCTTTGGATGTAGTTAACTTCATAATATTCCTTCCAGCTCCTGACAGTCATCAATGCTGACAAGAACTAGCAATATTTATTCGAAATCAAAAAGAAGGAATTCTCTACTTAAAGAAATTTAATTTTTGAGATACGGATTGTCAGATTGCACATCCCATGCTGTTTGCCTATGCTTGTGTCCAAACGATGGGTGATAGACATAGAAATGAAAAATTTAAAATTTGTTTTTATGATGCATTTTTTGAAATGTAGTTTAATATTCTTTGCTTTACAAGTTTTTTCATAATTTGAAATCACGATTGCTGAATACTTGAAATAGGTTAAGTAATCTACTACAGCAAATGCCAATGAAGCATAGAGAAATGTGGGTTTGTATTTTTCTCTTTGGGGGGGGGATAAAAAAACCCTTAACCGATTTCTTCAATGCACAATTGCTTTAACTTTGATCTGGCATTGTGTAATAATACTTTCAGATTTGCAGCCATGCATAGAATGGCATTGCTGAAAATTACTGATCTCCCTTAAAGCTGTAATCAAACCACAATTTTAAAGATTTTATTGCACTTCAAACTTACACCGAAAGGTGTCATTTATGGATGTCAGTTGCACTTAGCAAGATTATTGTATTTTAGGGAGATGTTAAGTGTTTGGAAGATTAACCAAAAAAATTGTAATTTGAGTGGGAAAAATATAAAGGTATGAAGTCCATGGAACAAATTCTTACAAAAAGCTTAATTTTTAGAAATGTTAATTTATAAATCAAATTAAATCTTCCACTTCCAGAAAAGTTATTGGCATTTTATGGAAGTGGTAGAAGCTTAATCTAGAATGCACAAACTGTCACTTTCTTCATCCTTAAAGTTTTTAGGTTAATCAGAAGTGTGATTTCAAATGGTAGTAACTTGATAGTATAAACTTAAAGGTTAATTCTGAATGGCTACTAGCAAAAACATTTTTGTAAATTAATTTCACATTTTTAAATCTCGTGTTTTGACTATATTTATTGACTCGTCTGCTTCTACAAAAACAGATTGGATGCATACTCTATACAAAATCATATAGTCACAATACTATATCAAAATAGAATCAGAATTTTTGTTACATATGAACTATAAAATTGTCTTACAAACAATGAATGTCAATGGGTGAAATACGGCTTACCAATCATGGAGTGTGTATTGATACAAACGTACAAAGTACCGCACAGAAGTAAATATACTTGTATTTTATTTTTGTGTGTTTATTTACACTTTCAACCATTTTGAGTGTGGTAAAAATTCAGATGTATCTAATGTCTGTAAAGGCAAAAATCATAGTGCAACATGATACAACAAAATTTTTTTAAAGACAATTTCCAGAGCACCTAAATATTAGTGAAAGCAGTAAACTTCAACTTTGACATGTATAGTCAATAAGCTAAGAGTTTCAACATTCCTTTGCTACAAAGCAGTAGTAGAACATACAATATTAATTATTTAAACTTAATTAGTTGCCTCAAGGTACCTACTCACTTATGATCTTAACTTTACACATTTTATTAAATTCTTTCTTTCATTTGACATTCATTGTTTTATTAAGAATTCTACATTTAATTTACAAAGTTCTTGCACAAATTTTGTGTAATCTTAAATAACTATTTAAATAATAAATTTGAAAAAATAATTTCAGAAAATATGGTGGGAGGTATAAAATCAATATACGTAGTGAAATCTTAAGTAAAGGAAAATGATATAACCAAAAGGTCAAATTTCCACTCAATTTGTACCATTTTTACAATCCAAATTACTAAGATTATCAAGTTACTTTTCCCCCTCCACAATTTCTAGAATCACTTATGAAGGGGAAAAAATAAAAAACAGGGTACAGTACAAATTTTGAATTCTTCCAAATCACATAGCCCTGATGTGAAAGTAAAATTATATTAAAAAAAAAGTTAATAACATACACAAAATCCTTTTGCAATATTCAGCAATTGTCATTCTACTAGTAGACCTTGACTCTTCAAAATGTATGTACTTGTGACTAAGAATCACCATTAATTATTTAAAAATCCACAATTCCCTTTTGAACTAAAGCAGCCTGAGAATCTGCAAGTCACACTGGAATATCCTACTAATTCTCTGAATGAATGACAATGAACAAATAATAATGAAGGGGAGAGTTGGGGTAATTAAACATTACATCGAAAAATATTTTAAAAAAGTGACAAATCAAGAAAATTTAAGCAAAATCATACTTATCAACAAAAGCTTAACTAATTGTTGCCACTAATCACTAAAATAACAATGCACAAATACATGAATGCATATATGCCTAAACAAAGAGTATATAAGAACCTAACAGAAATAAAATACTGATTATCAAAAACACATTGCTCCTTCAGAAGTAAAGGCAAAGTTTACAGTAAGATTTTTTTAAGACCTTGCACTTGCCAGAAATTCAAATTTTTACTTTAAATACCTTCTAATATTGTTCCTTGTCATGAGGCTATGAGAAATTATTGAATTAAAAAAAACAACACAGTATTTGTACATTTAAGGCATGTTATTTTACAGAACCATAGATGACAATATTATGTCAGACACTAACTAGACAAAACAAATGAATCTTGAAGGGAAGTTATCCACAAAATTGATATATTAGCAAATAAATGTGGGTCTACCTAAAATTTATAACTACAGATAAAAATAGGTAATACATGACGCCCCTAACAATGCACCAGAACATGATGCCAGCACCAATCCAATCTTATGCTCCAATTTCTCCAGCTGGATTACCAATCAAACTGTTGTGAAAAGTAAAATATATTGAGTCTGGGTTTTTCATTTCTTTCAATGAACTTCAATTAACATGTAAGAACCACTGGTAAGAAATGGTCAAACATGAAATCTGGCACTACATGTCCAGAAGCCCGTAGGGATTACAGTAATAAAAATACTTAGAACTAATATTCAAAAATATCCAAAAGCAAACAAGTATGCCAACTTCATTCACTGTCATCTCCATGGTCAGATCTGTAGGGAAGAAAAGAAAAGTTGTTCTTAGATGAAGTTTCACTATAAATTATAAATAATTTCACCTTAAAAATCAATTTGTAGTTTGACATCCAAAAATGGTTTACTGCTAAGAGCACTGTCATATAGCTTAATAAGAAATGTACTTAAGGTATCAAACCGTTTCAAATAGAATGTTTCAGTTTTGATATGATTCCATTAACCCTTTACACTTAGATGGCATCAGAGATGATATCACATCATCACATTGGATTGTATGACTGAGTGATCGCATGTCCACTGTCAAATAGCATCTCTTAAGATAATCGGAAAATGGCGCCTGAGCTTGGTGCGCTCACACACTCCTGTCAGCTCAGACTGATTAGTGATCACAGGACAATGATCGTCAGTTAACATTTTTTACATTTTCTCTTGTTCCTAAAATTATATTAATGTTGTTTTTCCTACGCAAGCTTGCTAATAAAACAGGGATATATGTAAATTCTTGAAAGACCATGTTGTCCATATATCACTACCCATTGCTACTTACATTGTCATCGCTTCAGTATCGTCAGAAGAAATTTCATCTTCAAATTCATTGAATACCCATTCCTCCTGGGAATCACTTGTCACTTTCAAAAGCATCATCTTATACTATTTTCTCTATTTCCTCATCTCTTATTCCATCCTTTTCCCACTAAAAATTTCAAACACTAGTAACATACTCCTTAGCACAAGTTGCATTCCCCTGAAATAACAGTTCAGGAATGCAAGAATGGAACCTTATCTTTCTGATTGCTTGGATTAGTTTACCTTACAATGGCTTGCTACTAGGAATCAAATCAATGATTTGACATTACTGAGACTAACTGAAAATTCTATTGTAGAGTGTATGTCATCTCTCACTTGCCTTTCATCTCAGAGATGCTCTCCGACCTGTCAGACATGAGTAAGATACCACACTACATGCAACCACCACCATCAACCTGTCATCTTACAGATGCCTACAGACCTGCAGGGG